TCTCTCTCTCCTCTCCCTCTCTCTCGCTTCTCTCTCTCTCTCTCTCTTGCTCTCTCTCTCTCTCTCTTTCTCTCCTTCTCTCTCTCTCTCTATCTTCCTCTCTCTCTCTCTCTCTTCCTCGCTCTCTCTCTCTCTCTCGCTCGCTCGCTCGCTCGCTCGCTCTCTCTCTCTCTCTCTCTCTCGCTCGCGCTCGCGCGCTCTCTCTCTCTCTCTCTCTCGCTCTCTCCCGCTCTCTCTCTCTCTCTCTCTCTCTCTCTCCTCTCTGCTCTCTTCGCTACTGGCTTCTGACGGAGTCTGGGTTAGGTGAGCCTGAGTGTGGGTGAGTCTGAGTATGGGTACGTCTGTGTGTGCCTGACTCTGAAGAAATGAATCTGAGTGTGAGTGAGCTTGTGTAAGAGTGAGTCTGGGTGCGAGTCTGAATCCCAATGGTGCCCCTGGCAGTGTCTGGCGACTAGGAGGCCCGGGTCGACTCCTCTTTGGGAAGCCAAAATGCTGCCCCTGGCAGCGTTTGGTGACTATGAAGGCCCTGGTGGACCCCCCCTGGGGCTCCCAAATGATGCCCCTGGCAGCGTTTTGTGACCATGAGGCTCTCAAGAGATACATGTTGGGGACGCCAAACGGCAATTCTAGCTGAGGCGTCCCACCAAAATCGGCGCGAACGGGCTCGTGAGATCAGCCAGGGTGGCTCCCCCTTGGGGCTCCCAAGTGATGCCCCTGGCAGCGTTTTGTGACCATGAGGCTCTCAAGAGATACATGTTGGGGAGGCCAAACGGCAATTCTAGCTGAGGCGTCCCACCAAAATCGGCGCGAACGGGCTCGTGAGATCAGCCAGGGTGGCTCCCCCTTGGGGCTCCCAAATGATGCCCCTGGCAGCGTTTTGTGACCATGAGGCTCTCAAGAGATACATGTTGGGGGCGCCAAACGGCAATTCTAGCTGAGACGTCCCACCAAAATCGGCGCGAACGGGCTCGTGAGATCAGCCAGGGTGGCTCCCCCTTGGGGCTCCCAAATGATGCCCCTGGCAGCGTTTTGCGACCATGAGGCTCTCAAGAGATACATGTTGGGGAGGCCAAACGGCAATTCTAGCTGAGACGTCCCACCAAAATCGGCGCGAACGGGCTCGTGAGATCAGCCAGGGTGGCTCCCCCTTGGGGCTCCCAAATGATGCCCCTGGCAGCGTTTTGTGACCATGAGGCTCTCAAGAGAGACATGTTGGGGAGGCCAAACGGCAATTCTAGCTGAGACGTCCCACCAAAATCGGCGCGAACGGGCTCGTGAGATCAGCCAGGGTGGCTCCCCCTTGGGGCTCCCAAATGATGCCCCTGGCAGCGTTTTGTGATCATGAGAGAGTGTGAGTGTGAGTGAATGTGACTGTGAGTGAGTCTGAGTGAGAGTGAGTCTCATCTTATCTTATCGAGTCCTATCTTATCTTACCTTTATTACCCTCTATCTTATCTTATCTTGAAATCTCTTATCTTGTCTTAGCTTATCTTATATCGTGTCTTATCTTATCTGGTGATTATCAGTGGGAGGAGGGAGGCGGGAGGCGGGAAGAAAGAGGAGGAGTGGGAGGCGTCAGAGTAATAACAAGAACCCCAATCCTTAGGATATGGGGAAATACCAACAACATCAACAACAACAACCACAACAACATCAACACCACCACCACCACCACCACCAACAAGAACAATCATATAACCCTCATGCGCGATGTTTCCACACGAAGCATGCGACCATCATGATAACCACCCCCAGCATGGGGGATTCTTGCTCTATAGCGGGATCCATTATTCCCGTTCCCAGATCTCCCGCCCAATGAGGTCTGGCAAACACCTCCTCCGAGGCATTTCAACATATCCCGCCTTGAAAACGCATGCCCGTGCGTTGCTGCGCCGATGCGAGACCGCCAGTGGTGCCTCAGCCAAGGGTAAAGCACAAACAAGCATCGAGCGACAGGATTGCCTTGGTGGGGATGGAGGCTGTCGGCGGCGAGGCAAGGACCTGGCCCTGAATAGAAAGGGAGGAAGTCTCGAGCAGGGCCGCTGTTGTTGCTGGGAGCGGCGCCAATGCTGAAGAGAGTAGGACGCTCGTCCAGCGTAAAGCAAAACGAAGTCTCGAGCGGGAGCGTTGGTTTTGTTGGGACGGCGGTTGTCGGCGGCGAGGAGGAACACCGCCTTGAGTAAGAAGGGAAGAGTTCTCGAGCGGGAACCGTGGTTTTGTCGGGACGGGGGTGTCGGCGGCGAGGAACAGCACCGTCCTGAGGAAAAAAAAAAAGAAGCCTCGAGCGGGAGCGTTGTTCTTGCTGGGGGCGGCGCCAATTCAAAAAAAAATAGGGCGCCAGTCCAGCGTAAAACGGGAGGAAGTCTCGGGCGGGAGCGCTGGTTTTGTCGGGACGGCGGTTTTCGTCGGCGAGGAGGAGCACCACCTTGAGCAAAAAAGGGAGCAAGTCTCGAGCGGGAGCGTTGCTGTTTCTGGGGGCGGCGCCGATGAGAGAGAAAATAGAGCGCTAGTCCAAGGTAAAACGGAAGGAAGTCTTGAGCGGTAGCGCTGGTTTCCTATAGGATCCGATCGGAATTCTATAGGGATTGTGTAAGAAGCCAATGCGATCCTATAGGGATCCTGTGGGGATTGTATGGTGATCCCATGCGATCCTATAGGATCCTATAGGATTCCTGTAAGGATCCGGTGCGATCCTATCGGATCCTATAAGGATCCTATAGGATCCTGTGGGGATTCTACAGGAATTCCATGCGACCCTGTAGGATCCTATAGGAATCGTATAGGCATTGTACAGGAATCCCATGCGATACTATGGGATCCTATAGGGATCCGGTAGGGATTGTATAGGACTCCCATGCGATCCTATAGGATCCTATAGGGCTCCTATAGGGCATGTACAGGAATCCCATGCGATCCTATTGGGTTCTTTAAGGATCCTGTGCGAACCTCTGGGATCCTATAGGGATCCTATAGGATCCTTGGGTGTTGCATAGGAATCACATGCGACCCTGTAGGAGCGTATAGGAGTCGTATAGGTATTCTATAAGACTCCCATGCGAACTTTAAAGGATCCTATCGGAATCCTATGAAGATTGTGTGGGAATCCCATGCGATCCAACAGGATCCGATAGGGCTCCTATAGGGATCCTGTGCGGTCCTGTAGGATCTTATAGGGATCCTATAGGATCTGGTGGGGATTCTATAGGAATCCCATGCGACCCTGTTCGATCCTAAATGAATCGTATAGGGGTTGTAAAGGAATCCCTTCGATCCTAGAAGGGTGTGTGGAGCTCCCAGTGGCGCCAGAGCCATGATCATCGACAGGGGTGTGCCGCAAGGAAGCTTTGGTGGAGCTCCCTGTGGGGCCAGGGCCGCGGTCCTCGAGAGGGGTGCGCCGAAATGAAGCTTCGGTGGAGCTCCCTGTAGGGCTAAAGCCACGATTCTTGAGAGGGGCGTGCCGAAATGAAGCTTCGGTGGAGCTCCCTATGGGGCCAGCCACGATCCTTGAGAGGGGTGTACCGAAATGAACCTTTGGTGGAGCTCCCTGTAGGGCCGAGGCCACGATCCTCTAGAGGGGTGTACTGAAATGAAACTTTGGTGGAGCTGCCTGTGGGGCCAAGGCTAAGATCCTCGAGAGGGGTGTGGAGCTCCCTGTGCGGCCAGGGCCGCGATCCTCAGGAGGGGTGTGCCGACATGAACATTTGGTGGAGCTCCCTGTGCGGCCAGGGCCACGATCCTCGAGAGGGGTGTGCTGAAATGAACCTTCGGTGGAACTCCCTGTGGGGCCAAGGCCACGATCCTCGACAGGGGTATGCTGAAATGAACCTTCGGTGGAGCTCCCTGTAGGCCCATGGCCACGATCCTCGATAGAGGTGTGCCGAAATGAAGCTTCGGTGGAGCTCCTTGTGGGGCCAGGGCCACGATCCTCGAGAGGGGTGCGCCGAAATGACGCTTCGGTGGAGCTCCCTGTGGGGCCAGGGCCACGATGATCGAGAGGGGTGTGCCGAAATGAACCTTCGGTGGAGCTCCCTGTGAGGCCAAGGCCGCGATCCTTGAGAAGGGTGTGCTGAAACGAATCTTCGGTTGTTGGTTGCTGGGGGTGGGGGGCGGGCAACACGGTCACATGTCAATCAGCAATAACAACACCAACAACAAACGCAACAACAACACCAACACCAACGCAACCAACAACACCACCACCACCAACACCAACACCACCACCAACAACAACAATAACACCACCACCACCAACAACAATAGCAATAATAACAACAACAACACTACTAACACCAACAACGCACCAACCATACTTTTCACCACGAATTCGTTATTCAGGTACGCGCCCAGGGACAATGAATGACCGTTCGCCCCCCTCGCTCTGATTATTAGTATTCGTACTGTTATTCGCATTAGTGTGATGGTGATGATGAAGACGGTAGATATTATGTCACTAGGTCTGATGATAAGGATGGCGACGGTTATGATGACGATGGTGGTGATGATGATGCTGATCATGAGGATGATCATGGTGAGGGTGATGCTGATGCTAACGTTGATAAACAGGTTTCCATTCATTTTATGATGGTAGATGTGATGAGGACGACGACGATGCTGCGGCTGATGATGACGATGATGCTGGCGATGCTAATAGATGCTGATTATGAAGAGTATGACGATGATGGCAACGATGACGATGATGATATGATGACGGGGATGATGAGGATGATGGTGATGGTGATGGTGATGCTGATGATACTGCTGATGATGGGGAGGAGGGAGAGCAGGATAGGGGGAGGAATACTAAGGATGAGAATTGGAGGCGGGGCCCAGGGGAGGGAAAGGGACTGCGACGGGGGAGGGGGATTGGAGGAGCGAGGGGGACGAGGACAGGAGAAGGGGCCCCGCTGGGGAGGGAGGGGAGGGTGGCCCCATTGAGGAGGGGAGGGCGGGGGGAAGGGGCGAGGAAGGGGGCCGAGGAGGACAAGGGAGGAGGGAGGGGCCTCGTCCTGGCAGCCCTTGTGCTCGAAGCGCTGCACGCGGATCGCCACTCCCTCGACCTCCTGTGCGCGTAGGCGGCGGGCGGCGCGCTCTTCCGCCCGCCTCTGTCCCCCCCCCCCCGCACTCCTCCCTCGCGTCCTCCCTCCCTCCCTTCCTCCCTCCTCCTCCTCCTCTCCCTCCTCCCTCCTCCTCCTCTGGAACAAGGCTGTCTTGGGAGCTTGCTTTCGAGTTTGGGCCGCTCCTATTGGTGGGACGTGGTTTTGCCTACGTCGTGCTACGTGGACCTGGTCGTCTCGTTCCTTTCCAGGGTCCTGGTCGTCGCTGGGGGTCTGGGTCCTTCGCAGTTTACAATGCTGACACGACGTCTGGGACGGGGTTCTGGACACCCTGGATTGTAAGTCGGACCTCCTGGCAACTGAAGCTCAAGCGAGAATCCCTGAGGGCAATGTGGAGTACTCTGTGCCAGCCAAGAGATCTCGCGGCCCTTCGCGAGCTTCTCTCAGAGCCCTGGCCCCGCCCACGGACATGGTCGCGCAGACGACCAGTTATCTCGGCATGTGGCTGATTGAAGTGCTTGCCAACCTTCGGAGGCTCTCTTCGATGTCTCACGCGCTGCGCACGGTCTGTCTCACTGAGAGCACCAAGTATGTCAATCTTCTTGTCAAGAAGGACGCGCGGGCACATTACTCGGACATAGCCAGGGATATCACGAGTGCCTGGTCTCTCAAGGAACATGCACGAACTTTCAGGAGGCTTAGGTCCGTGGGTGCTTGTTCCAGGAAGAAAACCAGGTCCCAACCCCTTCCACTTCTCCGTGGAGATGACGGGCAACCGATGCACTCAGAGAGAGAGAGAGAGAGAGATGCTCTTGCGGCTTGGACGCGGCATTTTGCTGCGATAGAGGCTGCCCCAATTGTGCCGATGCAGGACTTAGATTGGTACGCTAGCGTCCTGCCCGCTCTCCCCGCTGAGCACGTGCAGGACATACACTTCGACGTCGGAGATGTGCCAACGCTCGCTAGAGTCGAGAAGTCCTGCCGCAAGGCCAAATGTGCGGCAGCAGGACCGGATGGCATTTCTGGGGCTATGGTCAAGAAGCTGTTTAAACCGATCTCCCAGCTCCTCTTCCCCCTTGTCGTCAAGTCTTTCTTGCGGGTCCAGGAGCCGATCCAGTGGAAGGGGGGTTACTACTGGCCGCTGTTCAAAAAGGGTTACCCTTGGGACCGCAGCTGTTACCGCAATATCCTGGGGTCGTCGCATCTTGGGAAACGGTTCAGGGCCATTGTTCGTGAAGACATTGGTCCGCATCTTCCGGACTATGTGGGCCCAAGGCAGTATGGGGGCGTTGCTGGCTTAGGGGTCGATCTTGGTGGGCTGGAGGTTCGTCTGTTCCAACAGCTGGCTAAGGCGCGTAAGCTCTCGGCTCTGTTCATCCCCCTCGACGCCGTGCAGGCGTTTTATAAGGCGGTGCGGGAACTTGTCTTTCGGACGTCTGGTTCAGAGGATGCACTGGCTTATATTTTGCAGCAGGCGGGACTTCCACCTGAGGCTCGCGCTGAGCTTGCAGAGCATATTCAGCAGCAGGGCCCCATTTTTAACGACGCCCACGGCATCAGCAGACGTGTGCACGCCCAGGTCTCCGACTCATACGATCAGAGTTGGTATATCCTCCCAGGCAATACCGAGTTTGCGTTTCCGCAGCTGGGGACGGGGCCAGGACAGCAGTTGGGGGACGTGGTTTTCAACTATGTGATGGGGGCTATCATGAAAATCGTGCAGGCCAGGCTTCTGGAATATGGCATAGATGTTCGTTTCCCAGCGTGTGACCTAGGTTCCCTTAGGCCCGACGAGGACGAAGACGCAGCATACATGGGGCACTCTATGGACCTTTCGTTCTTCGACGACGCTATGTTTATGTTTCTCGGGAAAGCACAGACCCTTCTCCAATTTGCTCCTTTCATTGCTGCCGCCATCTTTGATACCTTTGCAGAGAGGGGCATGAGACTGCACACGGCAAAGGGCAAGAGTGCGATGCTGTTTCAGTTCCGCGGTGTAGGATCGGACAAGGCCAAGTCTGACTTGTGGAGAAACGCCCGAGGGGAGATATTAGTTCCCACTCGTCTTCTAGGAGAACTTACGCTGTACGCGGTCCGCCAGTATACTCATTTAGGTACTGTTCTGGATGAAGCGGGGGCCCTGGGCCCCGAGCTGGCCCACAGAAGTCATTCATGTACGGCTTCATGGAAAGTTTTACGGCGAGTTTTGCGGGATCCTCAATTGGATAAGCAGGTTGGCCTTATCCTCGTGGACTCCCTCATGTGCTCCAGCAGGTTTTTCAATGCGGGCACGTGGCCGGCGCTTACAGAAGCTCAGCTGGCGTCTTTATCAGACGATGTTGTGCGCATGTACCGCGCTGTGTACCACAGGCCAAGGAAGGATGAAAAAGCTATTCCGAACTCCCACATCCTCGCCCAAGCCAAGAGACCTGACGCCCAGACGGCGCTTCGCGCCCATCGGTTGAGGTTGTTTGGAAGACTCCTGCACGCTGGCCCCAGTCACCTGGTTGGGTTGGCCAGGCTCTGTTTGGAAGAAGGGCAGGGGACTTGGACGCATCAGGTTTTGGAGGATTTGGAGTGGTTGCGTCACCGACGTCCACGCCTGCGAGAGTACCCCCCTCCCTTGGACAACATGCCTGTCTGGGAAGCTCTGGTCCGAAAATCTGCCCTGGGTTGGAAGACCATCGTTTCTGTGGGTGTGGCCTCGCAGGTGGCTTATGACTCCCGTATTGCGGCTGCCGATAGGGCCGAACGCGATATCTTTCAGGACCTATATGATTCAGGTGTGCCCAAACCGGTGGACCACCCGGAGCACCCGCTGCGAGTGCAAGAGGCGGAGGACACACCAAAGTTTACATGTATGTGGTGCCCAGCTGCGTCGATGACCCCTACTGGGCTTAAGCAACATATTGTTCGCCAACATCGGTCGTCCATTAATCAGGTTCGCTCGACGCTAGGTCCGACTCCGAAGTGCGCGCTGTGTAAGATGCAGTTCGCCAGTCGTCGTGCGTTGTCCGAACACCTGGCTTTCGATGCTCCTCGGTGTGCTGTTGCTCTTCTCGCCCAACCTCGAACTGCCTCGGCGGCTGAATGTGAAAGGCTCAACGCTGAGGATGCCGTGGCGGCAGCCAAGCAGCGTGCAGCAGGCAAAGGACGATGGCGCCCGGAGTTCCCTGCCTTCCGTCAGCCAGGACCGTCGACCCCTTTCGAGCTCGAGATGGCTACATTGTCTGAGGAGGATGCGCGTGAGGCCCTGATCGAGTCCGACTATGCGTTCACTCCTGAGGCGGCCCAGGTGTACAGTGGTTTGTCTAGGCCTGGCCCCATTGCGGCCCCTCCGCAGCCAGATGATAGGTTCTGGCCCTTTCGGCCTCAGGACTTTTCGGGGACCGCGGCCGCCGAGCTGCCTTTTCGGATAAAACGGCCCGAATTTTTTGTTCTGAACTTGTTCTCGGGCATGAGGCGTTCCGGGGACATGCAGTGGCATCTTGAATTCGGGTGGCCCACGTCGACGTGCGTGGTGTACTGTTTGTCTGTCGACGTGGCGATCGATGCGGTGCGAGGCGATCTCACACAGCACGATGCCATCGAGGAGTGGGTAGGCCATGTGGCCGCCCGCCGTGTTTTGAACTCAGGGGGGGGGCCCCCCTGCGAGACTTGGAGCGCTGCGCGGTGGTACGACGGGGGGCCCCCCCCTTGCGCACGTGCGAGCATTTCTGGGGGGTCCCATGGTGCACGGTCCGCCAGAGCCTCCAGTTATCCATAGGGGCCCAACTTTTAGCTGCCCTCGCTCGCCTTCTCGCCGCGCACATGAAGGCTGGCACCAACGGCTGGATGGAGCACCCGCTTCCAGCCCACTGGATCCCTGGAGCTCCGACCTCATTCCGGTGGTAGCCCCTCGTCGCCATGGTTTCGGCTCCCCATGCGTGTGCGGTGGACTTTGACCAATGTGAGCACATGCCACCTGAGACGGACTGGTCCACGGTTGGCCGTGCCCCTATACCCGTCTCCTCGGCCTTCGCCTCCATTCCCTGCGTTCTCACCTCCTCTCCACTCCGGGGGGGGGGGAAGTGCTCCCACGGCCAAGGCGTGCACTCCACGCTCCTTGGCAAGTGTGCGAATGGTGTCTTCAGGACTGCGGCCAAGAAGACGTACTCGAGTGGTCTGTCCAAGGCGATTGCTTCTGCAGTGCTCGACAGTCTCGCTGCCCTCGTTGTGCCTCCTGATTCGGGTGAGGAGGCTGATTTCTGCTTTGGAGCCGACCCCGAGGAGCTGCGAGCGGGCTTGATGGCATTTTATGTGCCCTGGTCCGAGGACGCGGACGCCCGATTTTGTGCCGCTCCCGATTTCGCTCGTCGATCCGGTCGTCGTCGTGTCGATCCTGAACTTGAGCGATTCGGGTTCGGGCCGTCTCAGAGTAATTCAGATCCCTCGATCGCCCCCTCGGGTGTGTGCCCTGCCCCTGGGCCGGGTGAGCAAACGTCTGATCCGTGGGAAGTGGACCCCGAGACAGAGGCTGTTGAGGAGCAGGCATACGTTGACCATATGTGTGCCGAGGCAGAGAATTTCTTTTGCCCCGTCGGGGCTCTCCTGCCCTTCTCCTCCTCCTCCTCCTCCTCCTCCTCCTCCTCCTCCTCCTCCTCCTCCTCCTCCTCCTCCTCCTCCCCCTCCCCCCCTTTCAGAGGAGCAGCTCGAGCGAATCCGTGCGAATCGCGAGCAGGCGCGCGAGCGCAGGCAGGCGCGGCTCCGAGCCGCCCACGCCGTGCGCGCGCCGTGGGCAGCACTCGGAGGAGTGCTACGAGGCGGGCTTTTCTCCTCCGCCTCCACCTCCCATCCTCCAGGGCTCCTTGGATGGGAGTCTGATTTGCCTTTTTAGGCTCTGTCCAGTTGTAGCAGAGGCGTAGCTATAGATTCCTCTTCGGTCTCGTGAGCTGCTGCTGATGCTGCCTGGCAAAGGGTCATGGAGTGCGCACGCGCGAAGCCCCGCGGCCAACAAACATCCTCCTCCTCCGCCTCCTCCTCCTCCTCCTCCTCCTCCTCCTCCCTCCTCCTCATTCTTCCTTCATCCTCCTCCCTCCTCCTCCCTCTTCATCCTCTTCCTGCGTCTCCTCCTCCTCCTCCTCCCTCCAGTCTCCCCCCATCGTGGGTGCTTTTTAACAGCTAGGCAGGCCACGAAACAAATATTGCCCCAGCTGGTTTTTGAGCTTATGTGAAGCTCCATCCTTGCGGCCTCCCAAGGGGGGGGGGGCCCAAACAGCACTGCGGGGCACGACGTTTCCTCCTGCCGAATCGATCCGATCCCTCCATCCTGCTCCTCCTCTCCCTTCCCTCTCTCTCTCTCTCCCCCCCTCCCTCCCTGCCTCCCTTTCTGCTCATCCCCTCCGGCCAGCCCCTTCATGGATTTGAACCTGAGTGGACTTTCCCCACTGGGAACCTCTCGCGCTCATCTGGCCTGTCTCTCGCATTGATGCTGACGACCAATGCTCTGACGCGTTATGCCGTGATATGCGCTCGCTACACCCAACACAACTCCTCCCTCCTCCTCCTCCTCCTCCTCATTTCCCCTCCCTCTTTTTGCTCCTCTTCCGACACGATGCGATCGCCCTTGGAGCGCGTGCTGTTTCTCGCAGCTGCGCTCTCGCAATCACCGCAAGCTCATACGATGTCCCAAAGGGGGGAGGAGGGCGACCCCTACGACGACGACGTGCTGGAGATGCTTGCGTGCTCCCTAGAGCTCTTGCCGCCATGGCTGGCCGCGGCTCGGGAAACCGGCCAGGCCTGGACCCTGGGAGGTCCGACGCGTTCTGGGTGAGCTTTAAGTCTGCGGAGGCGACTCCGACTCCGACGCCCCGTTTTGTTGCCCAACACGTAGCGAGCCGTTCGAACGCTGGGCGAGGGCTGATAAAATCGTGGCTGCCAAAACGGTCCTCCTGGAGGGAAGAAACAACTTCCCGGAATGAGGCGCGGCACGCGAAACAATCAACGGGCTTCTTCCCGGAAGGGCGAAGACAACTTCCCGGAGGTCGACTTTAGCAGCCATGCAATTAGCAGCCCTTGCCCGGCTTCCGAGCCGTCGTCCTCAACATCCGCATGCCCTCGCAAATCCTGTCGCAGAGCCATGAATTCGGTGCGATCCCGATTCGGTTTTCCTTCTGATGGCATACATGTGCGTGCAATGCAATGCAGTGAGGTGCAACGCAACCAGATGCAATGCAGTGCAAACGATGGCGCATGTCTGGCACAGCACTTCCAATTCCACCATGACGTAGCACCATCGTGCAGCATTGAGTCGAACAGCATCGCAGGGAACAGCTTAGCAGCTGAATTGCACAGCATGGTCTTGAATAGTATTGGACTGTTTAGCATCGCCTAGCACAATACAGCATGTAATCTCGTAGTGAGGCCTGGTATAGCACCGCACAGCATAATAAACAACGCAGAGCATGCCAAAGCACAAACAGCAGCTGCACGGGAATCCGACGCCTGTGCCTGACAGCTGCAAGCAGACAACGCTTCCCTTGACAAAGCAAATCGAAATCCGTTGACTTAGCCGAACCCACTTTGGGGAACAAACAGACCTGACCTTGTCAGTGCGCCGGAGGTCTAGGTTCTGGGACCGTGAGTCGTCCACAGAAGGTTGTTCGGGTTGATCCGGGCGTCCCCGAAAAGCTCTCGACGAGGTGCAGCTGCTGGGAAGCACCCCGAGCCCCGAAATCCTACAACAACTTTCCGACAACATCCGAACCCTTCCAGAACCCTGAGAACCTCCGAAAAGGTCGGGGATGAGGGAGGAAGACGGACGACGGACGGCGGCCGGACCACGACGACGACGACGGCATCGGCGGCGGCGACAGACGACGACAGAAGCCGGCAACAGCGACGGACGCTGGCGACGCTGCTGGCGGCTGCGAAGACAGCGACGACGGCGGCGGCGGACGACGGCGACGGCCCCTGACATCCGTCGATCAGGCTTCTCCCTCCGCGCCCCAGAGGTCCGATCAGGCTTCCTCGGGGTCAGCTCTTCCTTCCTCCAGGGCCCACTGCCGATGGCCCCAGGGCCCGCAAGCGAGCCCCAGATTGCCGAGATCGAGGAACAGAAACCGACGGACGAGGACACCAGATCGCCAGAGCTCTGGGGCGACGCCCCGGTCGGCGGAGGCGACAGCGACGACGGCGCCGCCGGGCGACGGCGCCGGCGGCTGCGGCGAGCAGGACCGCGGCGCGCCCGCGATCCTGCTCGGCGCCCCTCGCCAGGACGGCCCGCGCCGCCTCCGGTGCGGCCATGAGCACGAAGCCCAGGCTGCTCGGGCGCTGGCACGTGTCCTTCGAGCCGCCGGCCTGCATCGCGGGGCGGCCGTGGCGCCACGAGCGCGCTGGTGCGCGCTGGCGCGCCACTCGCCTCGGCCTCCTCCTCCGTCCTCTTCTTCTCCGCCCTCGGCTGCCGCTCCTCCCGCTTGGCCGCCCTCGCCCTCCCCCCCCCTCTTGCTCCTTCGTCGCATGCACTCTCCTCCCCCGTCCTCCTCCCCCGCCTTGTCCACCGGCCTGAATCTTCATGCTCCTTCTCCCACCCGCCTCCCCCTCATCTAGGTGACATAACTTCGCGCATCGCGTCTCGAGATGCGCGACGAGCCGCGATATGCGAAGCATAATTACCTGCGCCCAGGGGTGACCTAACGCATATGGGAAGACAAAACGGCATAACAATCATTTCTCGGAGGTCCGCGCGGATTTCTTGGATCTGCGCTAGACCCCCCCTGCCTGGCGCGCGGAGCGCGCCAGGGGCGGCGCTAGAAGCACCGCCAGCGGTGCCCAGCACCGATCCAAGAAAACCGTGCAGAGCACCGAGGAGTTATGTTTATGCCGCTTCTTGTTCGTCGAGAGAATCACGATCATCTTCGCGCCCCTAGGGGTGACCTACGGTCAAGAACTTTTGCTTACCGTGTCGCCACTGCGGCCTCGGCGACACGCTATGCCCTGCGAGCGGATAGCGTGTCGCTCCGCTCCGCGGGGCGGGAGGGTCGGGAGAGGCTCGGAAGTGGACGCTTGGGAACTGTGACCTGGATAGTAGACCACCAGAAAACCCCAGGCCACACATAGCAAGCAGTACATAAAAACACTGGCATGGTAGCATCAGACTACACGTTCGGCGCATGCACTCACTACCGCAAATCCAGCCACTAATGAGAGTACCTGGTAGTCGGAATAAGTACGTGGAAACATGAAATAGGACTGCGGACATGATAGATTGGGGTCGGGCCCGCCCAAACAAGAACAGCAAGCAACAAAGACAGACCGGTTCTTCAAGTCGGAAGGCGCCTGAATCAGATCGGGATCTGGGAGCACAGAAATACCAACTTTCAACGACCAGCGGGTGACCACCGCACGCGGAACGCACACGGAGGAGGCGGGAAGGCACGACCGAGGTCATACTCGAGGTCGGCAACCTGCGGCCCCCGGTAGGTCACACGCACGGCGCGTGGAGACGGTGATTCCCAACACCACCAGTCAGGGGAGAAGGGAAGGAGAGAGGAACAGGGAGACGAGGGAGGGGCGGAGAGGAAGGGAGGGAAAGGGGAGCGCCGTCAGTGGGCGCTGTTGTCGTTCACGTGCGCACATGCCAGCCTGCCGCATGCGGGCGTGGGTGTCACCGCGCGGCGGGCCTGAGGGACCCTTTCGAGTGCATTGGCTAGGGCACTCAGAGTCCACACTGGCCGCGCCTAGACACTTGTGGCCTGTTGTGGGACAATCTGCCACGTGGGAGAGAAAGCACTGGGCTTCAAGCTCTGGCCAACACAAGCCCGTGCATGTAGCCTCGGGGACACTGTGTACGACTGCCCCTGCCTGCAAAAATGGGCGGCCAAACTCCGGACCGATGTCCCAGTGCCATGGCAGAAATACGGAAAGACAGCGGACGAGGAGGGGAGCAGGCGGAGGGAGGGAAGCAGGCGGGAAGGAGGGGAGCGGAGGAGAACAATCGTGGCCCACACCGCGCGTGGGCGGACAAATCATGCCCCCTCCTGCCCTCGCTTGTTGTTTGCGCGCCTGTGCTCGCGTGCCGGCTCGTGCGTGGATCCGCGCCGCCGCCGCTCCTAAGGTGTACCGGCCCATCCGCACGTGTCTTGCTGGAGGCCTGCCCCGCGAGCCTGGCCGCAGCCGGCCGTGGCTGCGCCGTGGCTGGCGTGCCGCGCCGAAGCGCGGCGGGCCAGCGCCGGCGGCGCGGCACGCTGCAGTCGGGGCGTGGACCTAAGGAACCCTAAATAAGGAACGATGCCCCTTTTCTCCACACATTGAACTTCGATTTCCCATGGAAAACCCGAGGAAAACCTGGACATTGGCCTGGAAATCGGCACCAACACCAAGACAGGGGTTGGCCTCCACACGGGGAAGGCGATCCTAGATTTGCGGTGCTGGTGGCAACAGCTCGGCCACCTTGGAAGCCAGAGTATTCCCACCATCGCCGAGGTCGGGACCTTCTTCCTTCGGTGGAAGCACACCGCCGAAATTGGTGTTGGTGTCAATCTCTAGGCCCGCGAGGGCCGGCGCCGGCGGCGCGGCACGCCACGGCGAAGTTCCCGACCGCAGCGCCGCCGTCCCCCTCCTCTGCTCCTCCCGCGAGGCCGCGGGCGCCAGCGGGCGGGCAGCCTCTGCTGCTCCTTCACCGCCGCCGCCTCCTCCTCCTCCTCCTCCACCTCCTCCTCCTCCTCCTCCTCCTGCTCTTCTCCTCTTCTCCTCCGCCTCCACCTCCTCCTCTTCTCCTCTTCTCCTCCGCCTCCACCTCCGCCTCCGCCTCGTCCTCCTCTTCCTCCTCTTCCTCCTCTTCCTCCTCCTCATCCTCCTCTTCCTCCTCCACCTCCTCCTCCTCCTACTCCTCCTCCTCCCCCTGGCTCTCTCCGAGGCTCCCGATGGGACCGGGCAGCCCTAGAGCCTTGCACTGGCTTCAGAGCGCTGTCTCGTCTAATCTCTCGTCCTCCCCTCGTCCTGCTGCTGTCGCTCCCCTGGCCTGTTCTTTGGCCGTCAGGGTGTGCGAGTGGGCGACCAGCACCCGAACGACCTGGCCGAAGGACGAGAAGTAGCGCGTCAGCTTGGGGACGCCCTCGAAGAGGGGGAGGCGGAGGAGAAGGAGGACGAGGAGGAGGAGGAGGAGGAGGAGAACCAGAAGAAGGAGATGAGGAGGCATGGGAGATGTAGGATAAGGAGGAATGATGTGGGTGGAACGTGGATGGAGGAGGAGAGGGATGAGAAGGAGGATGAGGAGAAGGAGGAGTAGGAGTATGAGTAGGAATAGGAGTAGGAATAGGAGTAGCAGGAGGAGGAGGAGGAGGAGGAGGAGGAGAAGAATATGTAAGAGGAAATAAGGATGATTACGGGAGTGGTATGGGAGAGGAGAGGCATGGGGAACATGGGTTGGGGAGGGGGGAGGGAAAAGAGAGGTAATGGGACAGCAGAGCGCGCAGGAGGGATTGGATGGGGTGGATGGGAAAGGGGGGAACAGGTGCGAGGAGGTGGAATGATTCGGGGGGAGCGCGAAGGAGGAAGCACAGTCGTCGGCCTTGAAGCCCAACTTGTTGATGCGCCGAACGATCACGATGCAGTCCTGGTTCTCGCCTTAGACGCACCACTCCTCTTCATTCACCAACTTCTGTGAAGGGGCCCCAGGACACACAAATAAATACACACAAATAAACAGATTCCCCATATTTTCAAATATTTTCAGGGTTTTTGTCTTCCACCCCACTTCCCATATTTTCCCATATTTTTTTCGGGGAAATCGGCGATTAACTGTGTCTGTGTGTTTTTTCCCCTCCTGATTCTGGTCCAACTCCTTTCTCTTCATCCCTTCTCCCCTTCCTCGCCCACCCCTGCTCCTCCTCCACAATTATCCTCCTTCTCCTCATCCCCCTCTCCAATTCCCTCCTCTCGGTCCTTCCTCCTCCTCGCCCACTCGTCCTCCTTCTCCTCCTTCTCCTCGCCCACTCGTCCTCCTCCCACTCGTCCTCCTCCGAGCTCCGTCTCGGAGTTGATCCTCTATGTTCTACGGGATGAGCCAAGCCTTTGTGACCATGTATACACGCGGCGCCCGCCTGCCACCCTTGGTGGCGGAGCGGCCGATGACTAGCCGCGCACCCGCGTGCACTGTCGCACACGGGTGGAATTCAAATCTGTGTGGAAGGATGGGGGATGGAGGAGCTGGGAGAGGACAGTAATGAGGAGTAGGAGGGGCGAGAAGAAGGAGCAGGAGAGCACTGGAAGAGGACAAGCAGGAGGAGAAGTGGGGGGAGGACGTAGGAAGGGGACAGGTACGGGGGTGCAGGAGGACGGAGGTCAGAGAAGGGAGGAGGGATGATGATGATGATGATGCTTATGATGCTGATGCTGATGCTTATGCTGACGATGATGACGACTCGACGACGATGATAATGATGCTGATGATAACTGTGATGACGATGATGATGGTGATGATGACGATGATGCTGCTGATGATGATGCGGATTCGGATGCTGATGCTGATGATGCTGATGATGACGATGGCGATGGTGACGGCGATGCTGATGATGGTGATGTTTCGGAGGATGATGACAAACAACGTGAGGGGGGATGATGATGAGACTGACATAATGTTTGAGAAGGAGGGGGATTATGACGATGATGGAGAAGGGTCAGGTTGGAGGGGGGAGGAAGGAGATAATCACGAAGATAATGATGATGATGATGATGATGATGATGATGATGATGATGATGATGATGACGCCGACGATGGTGATGATACTGATGATGACGATGATGATAATGATGATAATGATGATGATGATGATGATGATGATGATGAGGCTGTCGATGATGATATTGATGGTGACGTTGGCAATGCTGGTGGTGATGATGATGATAATGCTGACGATGATGCTGCTGATGACGATGACCATAGTAATGATGATGCTGATGATGATGATGGTGTTAGTAGTGATGCGGCTGCTGCTGCTGCTGCTGATGATGATGATGATGATGATGATGATGATGATGTTGTTGCAGCTGCTGCTATTGCGGATGATGAGGATGATGATGACACGGAGCAGGGGAAGGAGGATGATGCGGATTAAGAAAAAGAGAAGGGACAAGGGTATGATCAAGATGAGGACGAGGAATAGAAGGAACGTTGTGAACATGCTGGTGATGCAAACAATGGAGGTTGAGGATCAAGCGGGTGATGACTATGTGGAGCAGAAGCAGCAAGACCAACCCCCGCCCGACAACATCGGGGCTCCCTCCGAGCCCAGCGCCGGAGAGCAGCTGCAGGCTGGACGACAGGTTGTGCGCCTGGCGCTCGCTCCATCCCTCCTCTCCATCCCCCTCGTCCCTCTCGTCCCTCCTCCCTCCTCTGCTTCCTCCTCCCTCCGTCCTTCCTTCCCCCCCCTCCCTCCTCGTCCCGTCGCTCCTCCCTCCATCCTCCTTCGATGCCTCGTCTTTTTTGACATTTTTCTCAGGCATGCTGCCGGGGGCCACCGCCCCGTAGCGTCGGTACGCGCGGGCGGGCCGCTCGCGAGATCAAACCAGCAAGACGATCTCGACGAAGTTCAGGCACCAGGGACCGAAGGACTAGGCAATCTGTGGGGTCGTCTTCTTCCTCGTCCTCCCCCTCCTCCTCCTCCTCCTCCTCCACCTTCCCCTCCTCCTCCTCCTCCTCCTCCTCCTCCTCCTGCTCCTGCTCCTACTCCTCCGTAACTACTCGATATGAAACCCACTCTCCCCTCTCCCGGGATCCTGTTCGAGTGGGGCCTGAGTTTTTTCCCGCATGGTATTTCTCAGTATGTAGGATTCCAAAGCAGTGATCTTTCAGATGCTTGTCTTTTCAATCGGGGAGTTTCCTGTGCTAAAAGATGGTGCTCCCGCTGCAGCGTTGGCATCGTTTCAGGATCGACGCTTTGCTCCCGTCGGTCAAACTCTCGCTTTCATCCCAGCGCAGGCACCAATTCTGCATCCGAGTCCTTGATCGTCGTTGTCGCCCGCTCATTTTTCCTGCTTCGTCATCCACTGTTCCTCCTGCTCCTCCCGCTTCTCCTACTTCTGATCCTGATACTGCTGTTCCTCCTCGTCCTCCTCCTTCCTCCTTCCTCCTCCTTCCTTCTCCCTCCTCCTCCTCCTCCACCTCCTCCTCCTCCTCCTCCTGTGTACACAACTCCCCAATTTCTGACTGCTCATGACATGATGGAGCCATTTGGGTGATCCAGGTCCGCTATGAAACCGTCGGCGGATACAACAAACATCAGCGCAATGGGAAGGGATGTGTGGGATGAGTAGGATGTTAAATTTGGCGCGAGCGCACCTCCCTTCCTCCTCTTACCCCTCACCCTCCCCGCGCGCACTGGGGGAGGTCAGGAGTAGCAGAACGGAGGAGGAGGAGGAGGAGGAGGAGAAGGAGGAGGAGGAGGAGGAGGAGGAGGAGGAGGAGGAGGAATGGGAGGATCAGGAGGAGGATGAAGGGGAGGGGACGGGGGGGGAGAGGAGGAGGAGGAGGAGGAGGAGGAGGAGGAGTAGGAGGAGGAGGGGGAGGAGAAGGAGAAGGAGGAGGAGGAGGAGGGAGCGAGCGAGCGAGCAGAAGCCGAGAGGCAGTCGGAGAGGCCACGGACGCCGGGAGGTCTTGGCAAGCGGGAAGATAAACTATGCACCTGGCGTTTAATCGGCCAGTGCGGAACAGGAGAAGGAAGAGGAGGGGGGGGAGGAGGAGGACGAGGACGAGGATGATGATGATGATGAGGAGGAGGAGGAGGAGGAGGAGGAGGAAGAGGAGGAGGAGGAGGAGGATAGGGAGGGAGGGAGGGAGGGAGATGGTGGTGGTGGGAACGTTAAGAGAGGGTGTCCCTCCAGCTGTCCCTGAACGGCACTACAATGTTGCGCGGGAGCCCGACTCACCTAGCCCCCTCTCGATGTGCTCATCCTCACTTCTCCTCCATTCCTGGGGGTCCTGTGACAACATAGTGCAGTCGTTCTTGTGGAGACGGAGGAACCTCACGAAATGATATTCCCAAATCGTTTGCCAACTAAACATACGGAAACCTTGTTTTTCACCTTCACTTTGTTCTCTCAGATCATGTCCCTCATACTTCCAGAATAACACATAGCCCAAGATATCCGCCGGCCCCCTTGCGGGGCCACCAGGCTGCGGGGGTGAGGATTGCAGCTCCCTGTTCCAGTTGCAGTTTCCAGTTTCCACTGTTACAGTCCTGCTTGCTGCTTCCTTACTGGTAGCTGTTGCTGAACGCGCGAGGGGGGGGGGAGCCCCAAACCGGCTCTTTTACCACGCCCAGATCGCGTTGTCTGAATTCCTGGGGGGGCTTGGGAAACGTGAAAATACATGATATTCGCGCCCCCGAGGCTATAATCCTTAGTAAGTTACGCCATGTTCGCGTCCCCGAGGCCATAAACCCTGTAAATGATATACAATATTCGCGTCCCCGAAGCCATAATCACTGTAAATTACACGATGCTCGCGTCCCCGAGGCCACACACCCTCGTACATTATACAATTTTCGCGTCCCCGAAGCCAGACATCTTTTTACAATTACATAATATTCGCGCCCCCGAAGCCATAAACCCTTTAACATTAATCCAGATTCGCGTTCCCAGTCCCCGAGGCCATAAGCCCTCGTAGATGACACGATATTTGCGCCCCCGAGGCCATACACATTCGTACATTTTACAATATTTGCATCCCCGAGGCCACGAACCCTTGTACATTACACAATATTCGCGTCCCCGAAGCCGTACACCATAGTAAATTACGTAATCTTCGCGACACCGAAGCCATAAACCCTTGTACGTTCATATTTGGATCCTCGCGGGAAGTCCCGACATTGCATCACGTCAGCGTCCAGACATCCCAACACAGCTCTGGCAAATCCCATTCTTAAAGAGGGGGGCCAGCGGCATGGGGTCGAAGCCCTTACGGATAATCAGGGTTGTTCACCACTTTCCTAGCAACATCTCTAACATATCTATGAAGACGTCTCCAAGCCATAACATCAATATCATTGCACCGGCCTTGCAGACGTGCTGCAGCGGATTTCTGCTTGGATTTTTGCCCGAAACGGCGAGGGAAAAACGAAGTGAATTTCGCGTGGACTCTTTTTGGGCTTCATTCCAGGCCAAACAGATCCGCACGAAATTCACCTCGAAATTCGGAACGAGATTCTCCAGGACACCCCGGGCCCACCCCATCGTTTTCCGAACGAAATCCGCTCTGCGATGTTGGCGCCACGATCAATATCAAGCATGGGGGGCCGGCGGCATGGGGGCGAAGCCCTTACGGATCATCAGGGTTGCTCACCGCTTTCCTAGCAACATCTCTAACATATGTATGTATGTATGTATGTATGTATGCATGCATGCATGCATGCATGCATGCATTTATATTATATATATATGAAGACGTCCCCAAGCCATAACAACAATATAAAAGGCATGTTGTTAGCACGTCGTGTTGGCTTTGCCTGACCTCTCGCGGCCTTGGCTTATGTTGCTCCCATCGTCCTTAAGGGCTACCTCCCCAAGATATTTCCAGCACCCACCACGAAAGTGCCGAGCGAGTGTCGAAACGGTGTCGGACGAGTGTCTCCCAGGGCCCGCCACGCGAAAACCCTCGAGTTCCGGTACTTGTTCAGTGCTCGAGATTCTTTCTCGTGGTCAAGGCTAAACTAGGGCTCCCAACTTCGCGCTTCGCGCTGCGCGAAGCGCGAATAACTTCGCGCTCTCGCGCCGCCCTCCCAAAGGGAGAATAGGAGGACGAGGAGGAGGGGGAGAAGGAACGAGGACCGCGAAGCGCGAATAACTTCGCGCCCTCGAGGGAGCCCTTGCTAAAAGTTGGCTGGAACACCACAAGCCTTGGCACAGTTCTCGCCGCTCGTCGTCGGGGAGGCGGGGCCGGCGGAGCCAGCCCGCCGAACGGCGCGGCCCGGGCCGCACGCGGGGCCGAAGCCGGCCTCCGGGTCGACTGCCAAAGGACACCGAAGAGGCCCAAGGACACACACATAAAGACACACAGATAAACATCTGCCCCGTATTTTCCCATGTTTTTGGGGCTTTCGTCTTCCCTCCCACTTCCCATATCTTCCCATCTTTTCGGGGGAATCGACGATTCATTGTGTCTGTGTGTTTTTTCCCCTCCTGAGACACAGCACCACAAACAAGAACAGGTAATAACTTTATCGATGGGGCCCCGGGACACACCCGAAAAAAAATAATATACAGATCCCAGGGTTCTCCAGATTTTCCAATACTTTCTGGGTCTTCGTCTTTCCCCCCACACTTCCCATCTTTTCCCCTATTTTCGGGGGAATCGACGATTACTTGTGTCTGTGTTTTTTTTTTTTTTTTTTCTCTCTCTCTCTCTCTCTCTCCTGATTGATGGATATGAGCAAAGCGAGAAGTACGTATACTTGCCCGAGAGATAAAAAAAAAAACAGTAAACATTCCTAACCGCCGCCGTCGCCGTATGAATTTTAGCACGAATGACTTGATCCAGTTGGCCACGTGCATTCATCCACACGCCCGTTCTCTTCAAGTACTGGTCGCTCTGGAGTACCAGATCTTATGGAGAGGCGACTAGGGAGGGAGGGAGGGAGGGAGGGAGGATGATGAGGAGGGATGAGAAGGCGATGGTGGTCACAGCAAAAGGGAATGGAGGTGATGGAGGTGAGGCGCGCTTACGATCTGCACCGGATCGCGAGCTTGGGAAGAGGGCCGCCCTGCGAGGTTTAGTACACACCAGATCGTTGAGTGGTGCCGCGGCCTTCCCTTGAGCACAGCCCCCCGTGAAGCAAGCAACAGCCAGACACTTTGGGCTTGCACCCTTCTGCCTTGTCAACCTCGTTTAGGGCACCTGGCGAGTGAGAGGGCGGCGGTGGCCGCCCCATCCCACAGGTAAACCGCTCTAAGCGCCACGGCTGTGGGGAGAAGGGGGTGGGAGGGAGGACCTCCCCTCCCTCCTCCTCCGGCCTGGGGGGCCTGGTCGTTTCAAGTGCGTGCACGAGTGAGGAGGCCTGCCAGCCGTGATCCGCCCGATCGAGTGGGGCTGAGATTGGAGGCGAAAACTTGGACGTTCGTGAGAACAGAAGGTTTCCTCATCTGTCGTAGCCTCTCCTCTTCTGATGATGCTCTCTGCTCTCTGCTCTCTCTCTCTCTCTCTCTCTTCCTCCTCCGCATCTGTCTCGCCCAAGGCCTCGCCAAGGCCCATCATTTTTTCGGGTCCCACCCACCCGCACCATTATAAAGAGGTGGTGTGGGCCACACCCGCCCGCACCATCTACAGTTGGGGCCCGACCACGAGAAACCTTCCACAAGAAACCCAACCCTGAGGCCCCAGGACGTCCATTGATCTTTGGTGTGGGAACGTCACGCTTTCCATAGCAAAACCATCGAAACCCAAGAAACCCAGGGCACCCTGGAGGCAAGCAGGGTGTTTTTTGGCATCGGCTTCCACCGTATTAGATTGCCCCTCCAATCTGTGCCACCCACATCCGTCGCAGGCAAGGGAGAAGGGGGAGGGAGGGAGGGAGGGAGGGAGGGAGGGAGGGAGCGACGATGGGGGCGAATAGCCCAGAGGCGGGCGTTACACGCATTCGCCGGGGAGCCTCGCCGAAGACATGTACCATCCCCTGGTGTTTCTTGGCACGGGTGTCCACTGTACTCGGACCCGAGGCCATTCGCGGCTCCCCGCCGACCACCTGGCCAGCGGGGAGGCGCTGAGCGCCGCCCTCCCCCCCACCCCGGCGCGGGAGCGGCGCCCGGGCCAGGTGTCGCGCGCGCTGGGCCCCGTCGCAGGGCGAGGGGCGAGCAGGAGGAGAAGGAGAAGGAGGAGAAGGAGCAGGAGCAGGAGCAGGAGGAGGAGGAGGAGGAGGAGGAGGAGGAGGAGGAGGGAGGAGGAGGAGGAGGAGGAGGAGGAGGAGGAGGAGGAGGAGGAGGGAGGAGGAGGAGGAGGAGGAGGAGGAGGGAGGAGGAGGAGGAGGAATGGGGAGGAGGATGAAGAGGAATGGGAGGAGGAGGAGGAGGAGGAGGAGGAGGAGGAGGAGGAGAGGAGAGGGAGGAGGAGGAGGAGGAGGAGGAGGAGGAGGAGGAGGAGGAGGAGGAGGAGGAGGAGGAGGAGGAAGTCTCTCTGGGCCTCGAGGCGCTGGGCGGCAAGCCGCGCGGCCTGGCGCTCCTTCGGCTGCTGCGGCCCGCCGGGCTGCGCGGCGGCGGCCCTTCCGGCACCGGCGCCGCCCTGGCGAGGAGGCGCCTGCCTCCTCCCTATCTTCCTCCTCCTCCTCCTCCTCCTGCTGCTCGTCGTCGTCGTCCTCCTCCTCCTCCTCCTCCTCCTCCTCCTTCCTGCCTTCTCTCTATCTTCCTCTCCTCCTCCTCCTCCTCCTCCTCCTCCTCCTCCTCCTCCCTCGCGCTCCTCCTCCTCCTCCTCCTTGTCCTCCTCCTCCTCCTCCTCCTCCTCCTCCTGCTCGTCCTCCTCCCTCCTCCCTGCTCGTCGCCAAACAGTCGTGCTCGGCGGTCCACTGGGTGTCGGGTGCACGCTGAAACGGAGGGGAGGGGGGTGGAGGAGAAGAAGGAGGGAGGAGGAGGAGGACGAGGAGGAGGAGGAGGAGAAGGAGGAGGAGGAGGAGAAAAAGGGAGGAGGAGAAGGAGGAGGAGGAGGAGGACCAGTATACACCCAAGAGTCATCAACGATGTTGGAATAAACCCTCTCTCCAAATTCCCTCTTCATAGGCCCATACATACAACGGTTCATTTCCACTGAGGGGGGGAACTGCCTCGTTGGAAAACAACCGTTTGAAGACCCTGAAACATGCCAACACATTGTTCTCGGGATTCCAACACCACGGGTCAACCTGACTGTTGCGTCTTGACGATCCTGAATCGTGCCAGAACGCCATTCCTGGGACTTCAACACCGCGAATCAACGCATCTGTTGCGCCCTCATAACCCTGAATCCGTCCAAAACACCAGTTTTGGTACGCTGATCATGGGAACCCGTGAAACTCTTGCAACTAAACAGCGAATGTGCGCAGTGCTAAGCCGAGAACCACATTTTGATACACTTTGAAAAGGAACCGCCCTCAATCCGTGAAGCTCTTGTAAATGCTGAAAAGGAATATGTACGGCGCTGAAAAGAAACATCATTTTGAAAACCATCCGCCCTCCATCCGTGAAACTCTTGCCATTTGTTAGAACGAATGTGCGCGGCGCTAAGGCGAGAACCACATTTTGAAAACTACCCGCCCTCCATCAATGAAGCTTTTGCACATGGTTTACAGGAATGTGCGCAACGCTAAGGCGAGAACCACATTTTGAAAACCACCCGTCCTCCGTCCGTGAAACTCTTGTAAATTTCTAAAAAGGAATGTGCGCGGTGCTAAAGCGAAAACCACACTTCGAAAACGACCCGCCCTCCATCTGTGAAGCTGTTGCCATTTTTTAGCTTCACAGTCATACATTGTGAGGAAGTCTCAGGCGAAACGCCCAACCCGCCCTAAACACTGGCTTCGGGGTGCGACAGGGAGAAGGTAAGGAAAAGGAATGGCGACGAGGAGGATGAGGAGGACGAGGATGAGGACGAGGAGGAGGAGGACGAGGACGAGGATGATACGATACGATATGTTGGCGGCGCGCGCAAAGTGGTATGGGGGAGGGGGGAAGGCTTCATAGAAGGAGGCTGCTCCTTGGAAGGTGCTGGCCCTGCTTCTGCAGACAAGGCCCGCGCCGTATGAGAAGCAGGCTTGCTTCTGAGAAGCCTTTCCCCCTTCCCCTGCCCCCTCTGCGCGTGGCTGATGAACGCCGTGATGTTTAATGTCCAGAGAGCATCGTGCTCACTGATCCTTGCACAATCGCGGCGCAGCGGGCCAGGAAGAGGGTGATCAGGAACAGGGCTAGACTCGCCCGAGGGGGGAGGGAAAGAGGCGGGCCAGCAGGCACAACCAGGGAGAGAGAATGACGTCCTACTGGCCACCACGTCATCACATGCTACCCTTAGGCCAGGCATGTCCCCCTACAGGCGGATTTTGAAGAAAAATAAAAAATAGCCAAAATGGTCAAAAATAGTCAAACAATCGTGCCCATATTCTTTAAAAAAAAAAAACTATTTTTGAGTATTCCTCCTGTAAGGGGACAGGCCCGACCCAATGCTACCCGGATGCAAGCACGTAGCACAAGCAAGCGAACATCCACGTCTGGGCGTGCCAGTCCCATCCTGGGTGGACGCCGGCGTGCTGCACATGCTGCTTCCCTCGTTTTGCAAGGCCACGCTGTGTTGGATGCGCTCTTTCCGTCGCTGGCACGAGCGGTGGCGCTCGCTTTGGGATCAACACGTGAGCGCGTTTCTTCATCTTCGGCGATTCTGGGCATTACAAGGGAGGGGGGGGGGGAGAGGGGCCAACGGGGGGGGTATAATGTAACGCCTCCCCCCCGCCGTGCGCACCGCGGCAGTGCCCAGAGCGCACTGGGGGAGGAGGGGCGTTACGTTATAGGGGGGGGGGCGGGGGCTATAATTCCCACTATGCCCCAAGCATAGAAGAAACACGCTCCATTGCCCGCATCTATATGTCTGAGGGCCAAGGCCCAATTATGGTACTGAGGCGGTCATGTCGTCCAAGGAACTGTTGTCCCATGGCGCAAACAGATGCCAGGATCCGGCCACGAGTGGGGTTTACCGCGCGCAGTTGCGGTAAGCGCTGGCGACACAGTCAATGTACGAAGCATTGGAAATCAGGGCTTCGTTCGAACAGGGGGCGAGGTCCCAGAGGCGGAGACGAGAACCCCCTGCTGCCCCAGAGGAGGAAGGGAGTGGAGGAAGGGCAAGCCCAAGGCAAGGCCATCAAACGCAGGGCAATCGAGCATGTGAAGCATCGAATCACCGTTGGCAGCGCCGCATGCGATGCACGCCTTCGTAGGCACGCGAAACCGAGCACTCGTGCACCATGCATTGCGCCAAGATTTGAGGGGGAGCGAAGGTGCGGAGAACACGTGGCATGAGTTCAAGCGCTGAGACAGGCCTGCACTTGCGCAAGCGCCTCAGCAAGACGTGGAAGCATCCCTCAGAAAATTGCCCATGTCGTTTGAGGAAAAAAATCAACATCAAATCGAAACTGGAAACCCAAGTCGGGTATAGCCGGAATTGCTGTCATCGTCCTGTAATTGTCCCAACCCTGCTTAAGTAAGGATGGCTGCCACCACCGCTTGCCACATCATGCGATAACACGGTCGTCATCGGGATACGGTTGGCCCATGCCCCCACAGCTCCGAAGAAACGACACAACACCGAAGAACGAGGAGCTCGTCACGGCGGCCTGGTACATAGCTACGCGGCATAAATTTTGCAAATCACGTCGTTCAATGGGGAAATACAAGGTCTTCAAATCTTGAAGCAACGAGACGGGTATGGAGTCCTGGGGGCCACGAGCCAGAAACATTTCAGCTTCCCGTTCCGCCGATAAAGTGTACTTCGGGACAGTTACGAATTAGGCCACCAAAGTGAACACTGAGAAGGCCATCTTGTTATATTGGGCTATGGTCTTGAGCGTGCCGAGGTCCAGAGACCTCGTCCAGCGAGCCTGCACGACAAACTTGGCAGTGAGAGCCTTCCAAATCGCCTCAACACCCCCGGGCTCAAGAAGAACATCCTGGCAATGCCCCCACGATCCCACTTGTGACCGCAAACTCCGCGAACCCCCAGGTGGCAAGGTCAGACAGGAACTGCTCTTCAGAGTAGGCGTCGTTGCTGATGGCCACAAGCTTTTTGATGTTCAGGGCTGCCTCGTGAGAGCGCTCAGCAAGCTGCCAAACCCGATACGAGATGGCGCACGGCTGAGGGAGGTTGCCCGTGGCGTTGTCCACATCGTCGACGAAGCAGCCCAAGGTGTTCAAGGCAGGAGGTAGGCGCGCGAGATGAAGCCGCATAATCAGATCCAAGGCAGGGGCAAAGCGGCTAGTGGAGCCAAGGCATCCTTGTCTAACACCCCGAGCACAAAGGAACCAGACGCCTTCGCGCCCGTAGAAGCGGCCTCCAACCCATACTTCGTTGTAAAGAGCCCTGAAGGCAACGATCACGAGTGAGGGCACCTGCATCGCGATCGCGTCATGGAGGAGGCTGGGGAAAACCGTCTGGAGGTCGTAAAGGAGAGCCCCAGTGCGCTTGTAGTAGCACTGACAGATGTAATTAATGGATGGCCTTAGCCTCGACGTCATAAATGTTGTTCAGCAGTCAGCGGTCGAAGTGGAGGAGGAGGAGGAGGAGGAGGAGCAGGAAGAGGAGGAGGAGGGATGACGCTTGCATTTCGTCAATCCAAATGTGCTGACCTTTGCGGGCGTCATGGAGCCTCTTGGGGCCTCCGGGGGCCTGCTGACACCTCTGGGCGCCCGTCCTCCCGCCTCCCCAAAGCACCTCTTTTCCCCACAAACCCTGGCGTGACGGAAGAACCGAGACGGCTGTGTTTTCGGGGGGGGGGGCGGCCACGAGGGGGGCGTCCACGAGGGGGGGGGGGCGCAAATCATGGCCGGCGGCATGTGCGCGGCCCCGGGGGGGTGGGGGGGCCAGGGACGTAACGAAACAAGAAGAGGCGCCACGAAATCTGAGGAGATCTCATGGCCCGCGCCATGATGTCCACCCCCTCTGGTCATCACCCCCCTCTCTGCCGCCCCCGACACTCTCCTCGTTCTCGACGTCTGGAAGCCGTTTCCTGGGCCTCGGGAACTCAGGGACCGGCCAGGGACCGGCCTCGGCGAAGAGTCCGAGAGCCCCAGGGCCCACACCACGGGCAACTCGTGGCGTCGGAGGGCGGGGACGTCGTTTCCTGCTGCCTTGCTCTTCCTCCTGCTCCTGCTTCTGTCGTCCACCTCCTCGTATCCTCCTTCTCGTCGTCCTCCTCTCTCATCCTCTCAACCAATGCCTCTTCCGTGCAAATGACTCCTCTCTGTTGCACCCCCAGACGCGTCGGTGGGGCAGGTCGGGCGTTTCGCCTGAAATTTGCCCACCATCTATGATCCTGAAGCCTGACGTGTGCCCTCGCCGTAGCGCCGCGCGCACTCGTCTTAAACATCTGCAGCAGCGTCAAAGATGGATGCCGGGCCGTTTTCAACCTGCGACCCTCGCTCTGGCGCCGCGCACATTCGTCTAAACGTTTGCAGCAATTTCAAATATAGAGGGCGGGCTCTTTTCAACATGCGGCTCTCCCCTTGGCGCCGCGCACATTCCCCATAACAGCTTTAATACAGTTCAAAGATGGAGGGCGGGTCCTATTCAAGATGTGCCTTCGCCTTGGCCCCGTGCAGTCTTCAACATTCACAAACCACAGTTTCATGAGCTCGTAGGGTTGAACTCCTAGGAGTGGTGTTCTAGCACGGTTTAGGATGAGCAGGACTCAACCATCACGTTGACTCGCGGCGTTGACAATCCAGGAGCAGGGTTCTGGCACGATTTAGGCTTGTCAGGACGCAACAGACACGTTGATTCGCGGCGTTGAAGTCTCAGGGGTGGTGGTTTTGCATGATTGACAACTCTCAGTCTGCTCTCTTTCGGTGGGGCCCTTCCCACCATGGGATAAATTCATGTAAGGAACTGTAACGAGGGAGCTTGGAGGGAGGGTGTCTTGCAACATCGTTCTCCCCGTCCTCCTTCTCCTCCTCCCCGTCCTCTTTCTCCTTGTATCTTCCCTCTTCTCTCTTCTCTCTCCTCCTTATCCTCCTCCTCCTCCTCCTTCTCCACCGGCTCCTCCTCCTCCTCCATACCTATTTCCTTCCTCCCCCCTCCTCCTTGTCCTCCTCTCTCCTCCTCCTTCATCCTTGTCCTCCTCCTCCTCGCTCCTCCCTTGTCCCCCTCAGTTTCTCCCGGGCACCAACAAGCCCAAACACCTCGAGTCGATTCGTGCCTCCTCTCTCCTCCCCCCTTCGGCCTCGTCCTCGTCGTCGTCGTCGTCGTCTTTCTCCTCCTCCTCTCCTCCTCCTCCTCCCCCCTTTCCTCCTCCTCCTCCTCCTCCTCCTCCTCCTCTTCCTCTCCTTCCCTTCTCCTTCTCCTCCTCCTCCTCCTGCTCCTCCTCCTCCTCCTCCTCCTCCTCCTCCTCCTCCTCCTCTCTGCGTCCTACAATGACACAATATGAATACTACTCTTCTTTCTCCCCCGAAGACGCTTGTGAGATGTCCTGGCCTCCTCCGCGTATTGTCTTTTACACATAGGATGCCGCATCTGTCTTATTTACCATCGGAGCGTTTTGTCGCTCCCGCTATAGCATTGGCTCCATTTCCCGTTCTCAATCCTTCCAAACCACGTACCCGCTGCAGCGCTGACCTCATGTCATTGTTTCGGTTCTTTCACATCGTGCTCCTGCTGCAGCGTTGGCTTCGGTTCCGCGCTTGCAGTCCTTGCAAATCGTGCTCCCACTGCAGCGCTGGTCCCATTTCTGCGGTGTTGGTCCTTTGGAATCGTGCTCCCACTGCAACGCTGATAACATTTTGCGCTTCCCGCTTTCCAGACCGTCCACTTGCATTTCCCGTCTTGCGTCATTTCTGGTTTCCTTCTGACCTTCTTGCCGACATGAATCGCGTTCTCGACGCGACGATGACGGCTGTGGCCGTGCTCGTCTATGCCATGCTTTGCCGTACTATACCATGCATCGCGCACTCTGTCGGGATCATTGCCCAATTCAACATCCGATTGTGCGAATAGAAAGGTGATCTACGCAATGGTGAAGGATGGGAGGGAGGGATAGGACGTCAGATATGACGCTTGCGCACCTAGCTTGCCTCTCTCCTCTCTCCTCTCTCCTCTTCTCTTTCTCCCCTCTCCTCTCCTTCTCTCTCTCTCTCTCTCTCTTCATCCTCCTCCTCATCCTCCATCTGTTGACTCCTCCCTATCTCTCCTTCTTCTCTCTCCTCCTTGTCCTCCTCCTCCCCTCTTATCCGCCTGCTTCCCTCTGGGCGCTAAGCCAGGTCCCAACACCTCGATCCTCCTCGTCATTCCGCTCTCCTCTCCCCTCGTCATCGCCCTCGTCATCGTCGTCCTCCTCCTCCTGCTACTCCTTCTTCTCGCTCTCCTCCTTGTCCTCGTCGTCCTCCTCGTCCTCTTCCTCCTCCTGGTCGTCGTCGTCGCCGCCGTCGTCCTCCTCATCCTCCTCGCCCTCCCTCCTCGTTCTCCCTGCTCCTCCTCTTCGCCGTCGTCCTCGTCGTCCTCCTCCTCGCCCCCCTCTTCGTCGCTGTCGTCGTCGCCGTGGTCGTTGTCCCCCCCCCCCCCTGGAGGGAGGATGGCTCCAGTGGCCGCCTGGGGCTGCCTGCGCGCGCCCCGCACGGGGGCCCGCGCCGCGGCGCCGTGGCGCGGGACGCACGGCGGCGGGGCCGTCTGCTCCCCCCTGGCGACGGGGCGCGCCGCTGGGGGGAGGGAGGCTCGGCTGCACGCCGGCGACCACTGCGACCACGATGCCGACTGCGGCCTCTCGACGACCGCGCCGCCGACGCCGACGCCGACGCGGAGTTTTGGACGCCCGAAAGGGGTACGGAGAGAATGGGTACAATGCCCAGCACCACATGTTGTCCCGAACCAACAGCGGCCGCTGTTGGGCAGTGCGGCCTGCTGCCTCGAAGGGACACAGGCCGCGGCGGCGCGGACAGCGAGTCCTGTTCAGAGTGGAGAGGAACTGCTGCTGGGCATTGTGCCCATTCTTTCCGTGCCCATCTCGGGCGTCCAGAGGAGTCGATGTCCGCGGCGACGCCGGAGGAGGAGGAGGAGGAGGAGGAGGAGAGAGGAGGAGGAGGAGGAGGAGGAGGAGGAGGAGGATGATGATGAGGAGGAGGAGGAGGAGGAGGAGGGGGAGGCGGAGGAGGAGGAGGAGGAGGAGGAGGAGGAGGAGGAGGAGGAGGAGGAGGAGGAGGGCGCGCCGGGGCCGGCTGCGCGCCGGAGTGCCCCGGCCAGAGTGACCCTCTGGCGCGCAGCTCGCCGATCGCCGCGCGCGGTGCGTCAGCGGCGGCCTGCGCGCTCGGACCAGAGGTCACTCCGGCGAAGGGCCACCTCCCGGGGGGGGAGGCCACCTCGCTGTTGTCGTCCAGCAGCACACAAGAGGTGACCCCAGGCAGGAGTGAGCTCTGGTGCGCGGCTTTACGGGGGCTGGTGTGTGTGTGTGGAAGCCACGAAGCGGTATGCGACGTGGAAGCAGGTGCGCCTCGAAGAAGTGGCGCGCGGGTCGTGCGGGAGGAGATCTCGTTCCCGGACCCGCTGAGCTGGGCTCGCCCCCCTTCCTTCACTATCCCTGCCACTGTGTTGTGCCTCCCTTCCTCCTCGTCTTGCTGGCCCCTTGTCGTCCTAATTCTGGCCCGCTTTTAAACCTGTGCTGCACCGCGTGAGTGCCCCCCTGGTTTCGCCTGACATTAGTTCGCTCTTGCTGGGCGCGTGATCCTCACTTCCTTTCTTTGCCGGCGCGCGCGCGCGCGCCAGCGGTGACCTTCGGACGGCTTGAGGTGTGCCCAACCCGCGACGCGCAAAAGGTGTACACGTGTGTGCGTGTGCCAAAACCAACGCGCAGGCCAGTGTTTTTCTTTCTCCCCCACGGCAACATCCACATTCACTGCACGAGTGGCAATCTGACGTGAGACGGAACATCGCCAGGCAACCTGGGAACGCCACACGAGAAGGTATCGTCAGCGAAGCGTCAACTGAGGAAGGAGAGAAGAAAGGCGAGGAGAGAGGAGAGAGGGGAAACCAGTACTGGGGGGGGACGCCAGGGGGCCCGGACCAAAAGGTCACTCTGGCGGAGGGTGGTTCTGACACGTAGCCGAGTCGTCGCCGTCCTTGTCTCCCCGGGGGGCCCCTGGCGGGGTCAGTTCTTCATCGCCATCGCTTTGGCCATCGCCGACTTTGTCGTCGTCGCCGCCATCGTCGTCGTCGTCCTCCTCCTCCATTCCTTTTCCATATAAATACTTCCTCCCTGTCGCACCCCGAGGCCTATTTTTAGGGCGGGCCGGGCGTTTCGCCTGAGACTTCCTCACCATGTATGACCCTGAAGCTTACACATGGGCAACCGTTTCACAGATGGAGGGCGGGTGGTTTTCGAAATGTGGCTCTCGCCTTAGCGCCGCGCGCATTCGTTTTAAGAATTCGCAAGAGTTTCGCGGATTGAGGGCGACTGGTTTTCAAAATGTGCCTCTCGCCCTAGCGCCGCGCACATTCGTTTAAACAAAGTTGCAAGGGTTGCACGGATTGAGGGCGGGCTTCTTTTCAAAATGTGGCTCTCGCCTTAGCGCCACGTGCATTCGTTTTACAAGCTTGCAAGGGCTTCACGGACTTTGAGCGGTTCTGTTTCAAATTGTGGCTCTCGACTTAGAGTCGCGCACATTCGTTTTAAACAATTGCAAGAGTTTCACGGATTGAGGGCGGGTGGTTTTCAAAATGTGGCTCTCGCCGTAGCGCGGCGTGCATTCATTTTACAAAACTGCAAGGGCTTCACGGACTGAGGGCGGTTCCATTTCAAATTGTGGCTCTCGCCTTATCGCCGCGCACGTTCGTTTATGGCATCGTTTATAATATTTATAAGGGTTTCACGAATTCTCATGATCAGCGTACCAGAAACGGTGTTTTCGAAAGAGGATTATGCGGGTGCAAGAGTTACGTTGCTTCGCGGTGTTGAGGTCCCAGAAATGGCGTTCTGGCGCGCTTCGGGCTCACCAAGACGCAACAGTCAGGTTGATCCGTGGCGTTGAGATCCCGAGAACAATGTTTTGGCATGCTTCAGAATCTTCAAACGGTTGTCTTCCGACGAGGCAGTTCCCTCAGTGGAGATGAACCGTTGTAGGAGCCTTTGAAGAGGGAGCTTGGAGGGAGGGTTTATTCCAACATCGTTGATGGCTCTTGGGTTTACACGGGTCCTACTCTTCGTCCTCGTCCTCCGCGCTCCACCTTCGCCCTCCTCCTCCTGTCCTCCTCTTCCGCCGCCTCCTCCACCTCCCGTCCTCCTGCTGCTGCTCCTTGCTCCTTGCTCGCTCCTCCCTGCTCGTTCCGCCCTCCTCTCAATCCTCCCTGCTTCTTCTCCTCCTTCTCGTCCTTCTCATCCGTATCGCCCTTCTCATCATTTCCGTCCTTGTCCTCCTTCTCCTCCTGCTGCTTCTGCTCCTGGTCGTTGCCCTCCTCTTCCCTTATCGACCCTCGTCTCTTCACTCTGCTTTATCCGCCCTCGCCCTCCTAGGCCTCCTCCTGCTGCTACCTCCCCCTTGTCACTCGTACCCTTCCGGGCCTCGCCAGCCCTGCAGAATTCTTGCAGCAGCTGTCCGTGGATGCCAAAAGCGCACACAGTGGGAAACAATCTATTGAATGCAACACATGAGGATACTTTAATTTCGACGAGTTTGAAGTCGTCAACTCCATCGCTCGCGCAAACATCCCACCCTTCCGTCTGCGATCAGGCCAGCGTTTCGCTGCTTCTCGTTTAAACCAGGATGCTCCATCCGAACAATTCCCTTCTTCGGTTTTGGGGTGGACGTGCTTGTCCCTAACATTGCGGATGACCACGCGTCGCGTCGTATCCACCTCCGTCCAGGCAGTAGACCTTGTGCTGCCAAGACGGATCACCAACAATATGACCACACCCGTCTGACGGGTCCTGCTCTAGATGCACGCGCGGTTCCATCGCGCCCACGGCACCGTGCAAACTGCCGGGCTCCCGCGGAGGGTCGCCGAGTCCGCCCTGGTCTCCGCCGCGACCAGGGGCTCCACGTCGTCGAAAGGATCCGCCTCGCTGTCCCGCCCCTGGCTGGGCACGAGCGCCTCCCCGTCGCTCCGCGGCGCCGCGCCCACCCGGCACCGGCCGCCCGAGTGGGCCCGACGCGCGCCGCGCTTCGCCGTGCCGCGGGAAACGTGCTGGGCGGCCCAGGGCTCCGAGCGGGGGCAGCCCCGCGCCCCCCGAGTCGTTGGAGCCGCACCGGCTGCCAACGTGCAGGTGCGATGCCGAGGAGCGGCGGCGAGCCTGTCCGACGAACCGGGTACTGTCTTGGGCTCCTGCACCTTCGGTGTAGCCTACCAGGACGTACGGCTTGCTGCTCAGCCTCTGAAGTCTTGCGACAGTGTTTCCGCTTGCCGAGCGACAGGCTGCGTGGCCCACAGATGGGCCAACAAACTGTCTTGGGCTGGCATGCGCGTGCCATCTCTCGGGGCCGCCGGCGCCGCACGGATTTTCATCGGCGGCGCGGCGCGATCCCCCGCCCCCATCCACTCGGACCCCCCTGTGGGGGGCCCGGAGCCACATCGGTGATCGTTATGAGGGAGCCGCACGTATCACGTAACAACACGACATATGCGCGAGGCAACTTGGAGCTGGCGGCCGGGCGGCGAGGAACCGGTCGGAAACGGCAGCCAGACAGCGCTCTTCCTCACGCAGCAGAGCTGGAAGCACACACACAAACCACTTGGCTAGCCCAACTGACGTAACACCCTCCTCCTCCTCTCCTCCCTCTTCCTCCTCTGCCTAAAGCACATACTCCCCAGAAAAGAAACCTGCCCCCACATGCTGGAACGAATTCGGAGCGTGCCCCGCGTTCGGGAGAACACCGACGCCTGGCGAGCGGACGCGTCGAGAAAACGCCGCGAACAGATGGATCGCGATCCGACCCCCCCCCCCCCCCCGCCCCCCCCCCCCCCGCCTTCCCGCCCCCTCTCGAAGCACAACGGGCTCTTCCCACTCCGCCCCCCAGGAGACATTCCTGGCCACGGCGTCGAAAAAAGGGATGCCAACTCCTTCGGCCATCGGCCTTTTTCTCAGTCGATGTTTCCTCCCTATATTTCTATAATCTGGTGCCCTGCGAACCCCCTCTCTGAACGGGGTCCCTCCAGATCCTTGGTCCCGGGGGCACCCTGGACGCCCTTGCAGACGGTCCCCTGTGCTTTCTGGGGCTCCTGAAGCCCCAGCTGGGCCTAGGCAAAGGGCCCAAATCGGTCAGGAGGGCGGCCGGGCGGCCCCGCGAGAGCCCAGAGAGGCCCCAGACACCCACCAGATGCCCGAAAACGACCCAAAGACGAGCATGGGTGGGCCTGGTGCGGGGCCAGGGCTGTTTGACCCGTGACCTGCGTCGCGGGGAGGCTCGGATGCTTCCTTCCCCGAAGGTCGACGGGGACGTCGACTGCGGCCTTGGGCTCCTGTGCGCGCCAGGTGCTGGCTATTGCGTCGGCACCTCCCGCTGGCGCGCCCGCAGCGGCCATGCGCGGGGTAAGGCCGATCGCGAGCTTGTTGACGTCGGACGACAGACATATATATATATATAAAACAAGGGAGAGAGATACTAGCTAAAAAGGGAACACAAACAGAAAGAAAGAGAGAGAGAGGGAGAGAAACACATTCCTATATATACATATGTATGTATGTATGTATGTATGTATGTATGTATGTATGTATGCATGCATGCATGCATGCATGCATGCATGCATGCATGCATGCATGCATGTATGTATGTATGTGTGTATGTATGTATGCATGCATGTATATATATGTGTATGTATGTATGTATGTATGTATGTATGTATGTATGTATGTATGTATGTATGTATGTATGTATGTATGTATGTATGTATGTATGTATGCATGCATGCATGCATGCATGTATGTATGTATGTATGTATGTATGTATGTATGTATGTATGTATATATGTATATATATTTGTATGTATGTATGTATGTATGTATGTATATACGTATATATATACACATATATATATATATGTGGGACGCAACGGAAAGATAGAGCATCCGAAGATGCTGATCTGCTCTTGCCTGCCCTCGCGCGGGCTGGGCCCGCCCGCCGCGCCCGCCGCCTCGGCGGGCACCGCGGCGGTGGCGGGCGGGCGCCCGGCGGGCCCGCGCCCCGCTGCGGCCACGGCGGGCCGTGCTGATGGTCCGCCGCCTCCTCGGGCGGCCCGCGCGCTGCTTGTTGGAGGGGGAGGAAGAGGAGGAGGAGGAGGAGGAGGAGGAGGAGGAGGAGGAGGAGGGGGAGGAGGGAGGAGGGAGGAGGAGAGGAGGAGGAGGAGGAGGAGGAGGAGGAGGAGGGAGGAGGAGGAGGAGGAGGAGGAGGGGAGGAGGGAGGAGGTAGGAGGAGGAAGGAGGAGGAGGGAGAGGAGGAGGAGGAGGAGAGAGGAGGGGGAGGAATATGTTGATGATGATGATGATGAGGAGGAGGAGGAAGAGGAGGAGGAGGAAGAGGAGGAGGACAAGGAGGAGGAGGAGGAGACCAGCGTAAGAGAAAACTCCGATTAACCTCTGACGGGAAATCTACAAGACTCCGTATGCCCACGCCTGGGGGAATGAGTGAAGGCGGAAGCCGAGACAAATGACGGCACTACCAGGGAAGCGGGACGCGAAGAACACGACCGATTAGATGCCCGCGCGCGACGCCGCACCCTCACACAAGACGCCGCTGGCCAGAAACTCCTGGCCTCGCAACACTCACAGAAGGGGTCGGCGGATGTGGCGTAAGCCTGTCGAATATACAAGACTCCGTGCGCCCACGCCTGGGGGAATGAGTGAAGGCGGAAACCGAAACAAATGACGGCAATACCAGGGAAGCGGGACGCGAAGAACACGACCGATTAGATGTAGGACAGCACAAGGAGCGGCGAACACATCTCTCAGTTCCCCTCGCTATCAGAGCGCGCGCAAATATGCCTCCGAGGCTGCGCTCTCCATACTCCACCACAAACATCGCATGCGCCGTCGGGTAGCGTGGTCAGGTCGGCAAGCGCCACGGGCGGCTGCCGAGGAGACGAAGAATGAACACTAGGAGCGTGGCTGGGGTGAATCTGCTCCAACACCAGGCGCACCTGGGAGGCCAGCGCGTCGGAGTCAAGGAAAAGCTTGAATGCGCTCGAGACCGCGTCCGACCTCGTGGATGGACACCTTCGTGGAAAGGTCCTGGGCCGCATCCCGCAGTATGGCAGACTGCGAGAACTCAGCCTTGCAATTTTGCATGAAAGTCGCCGAGCCCCTCAGCGCAACAATGTCGGTAGACACATTCTCCAGTAACGCGTGCACCTCCATCAAAACGCCCTCGCGAGCCGAGGAAATGAAATCGTTAACTGACGCTACGCGCTTGCCAATGAGCATCTGGCAGTCGTCCCACAAAGTGGACAGCGGCAAGGCCACCCACTTCTCAACCGTAGCACGGGAAGGATCCACAACGCACCGTTGCACATTGAGCACAACCTTCTCCAAGAAAGCCCGCTGCGCCGCGGCACCATCTCGCAAAATGCTCTTCAGGCGGGTCTCGACATCCTTCAGGTGCGCGGGCAGTGCAGCAATCAAACGCTCCACCTGTGACTGAAACTCGGCAAGCTGCGGTACCTGGCTGATCCGCTCCTCGAGCTGCGCGAACGCGTCCGAGAACTCGAGCCGAACAGTGTCGAGCGCCGTGCCACGAAAGACTGCGATCCTGTCATTGACTTCAGCCAATAAGCTGTCCAGCCGCTGATCGAGATCACGATTTCCAAGCATAGTCGAAACAATAATTTCCAAGTCTCTGACCTTCGAAAACTGGCGCTCGGTCTTCTGCTCGACGGCCTGCCTGAGCACGTCGCCCTCATCACCAGGAACAAACACAAAAACATCACGTCTCAAACTACTGCTCGCTGAAGATGACAACGCGCACGAGGGCGCAACCGGAACCCAACGCTCGGTCCCAGCAGGATGGCAAAAGACATCAGCGGCCGCAGCACGAAAGAGGCGACGATCACGTTGGTAGACCCGTTGGCCCACAAGCGGCCGGGTAAGTGACAGAGCCTGCGACGGGAAGTGCACATTGTGCTTGAGCAGCTCGCAATTGAACGGGTGACGGCGAAGAGCTGAAGCATGCAGGCTAGAGTCGAGGTTGGTGTACGTGCCCTTCTCGAGAAGCCGGACACGGGCCGCGAGGCAGTTCTACTTGTTCTTGGAGCGCATCTGCTGGTTACGTAGCCCACCAGCGTAGAGAGGACATGCCGACGCGCGCGCCCTAGGGAGGATGGCTTGAGCTAAAATTGCGACGGAGGAAGAGGAGAAGGAGGAGGAGGAGGAGGAGGAGGGGGAGGAGGAGGGGGGATGGGGGAGGAGGAGGAGGAGGAGGAGGAGGAGGAGGAGGAGGAGGAGGAGGAGGAGGAGAAGGAGGAGGAGGAGGAATGATCGGTCAAGCGCGTGCTAGACAGGGCGAGCAGTGGCTCTGGACTCAGCGAGATGTGGGAGGCGAAGTTGGGTCCTGACGGCATCGGCTACAATCCTGGGATCAGCGCGCTAAGGAAGGGCGACCAATTGCAGCTGGCTCTGGCGCTTACCGGTGAGATGTGGGAAGCAAGTCTGGAATCCGACTTCTTCAGCTGTAGCAGTGGGGTCAGAGCGTGCGAGACGGGCGAGCAATGGCGGTGGGCGTGAAGAGCACCCGGGGAGATGCGGAGGCGAAGGTGTAGCCCAGCGTCATCTGTACTACAATGCTGGGCGAAGCGCGTGCGAAAGTGGCCAAACGTGCGTGGCCCCCCCACCGCGCTCACGGCCCCCGGCCGCGCCTCCAGCGGTCCGGGGCTGCTCCTGATGTTTTTTTGATGATTTCCGTGTTCTCCCTTTTCTTGCTTCCCGCATGCCCGAGACGTCCCAGGAAGCTCCAATAGGGCCCCAAGATTGTCCCAGAGAGGCCCACGATACCCTCATAGAGCATCCGGTGGCCCCCAAGACGGCCCTAGGAGCTGCCGAACAGGCCCCAAAGCAAGCTCCAAGACGGCCCGAAACCCCGGCCATGGCCCCAGGACGGCCTGCGGGGCCCCCGAGACGGCCCAAGAGAGCCACAAAATAGCCCCACGAGGCTCCAGAGACCCCAGGAGAGCTCCAAGAGGGGCCGCATGGAGTCTATACCGCGGCCTTCCCGCAGCCCCCGATGGGCCACGAACTCTCCAAGGAACACTCCGAGATGCCCCAGCGTCTCACAAGAGATTCCGATAGTTGCCCAGGAGCTCCTCGGGAGAGCGCCTCCATCCACGGCACCCTTTCGGCGTTTCTCGAACCCCAGACGCCCCCAAGAAATCCCCAGACCCCAAAGCACGCCCCAGCCGACTCCGAGATGCCCCAAGGCCTCTCGAGAAACTCCGCTGGTTCCCACGGAGCTCCCAAGAGAGCCTCCAGCCCTGGCACCTCTCCCCGTGTGTGTGGCTGCCCAGTAGCCTCCAAGGAAGCCCCTGACCCCAAACCAAGCCCGACAACGGTGTGGCTCCCCGGTTGCCTCCAAGAACAACGGCCCAACAAGATCCCCAGGCCCTCCCAAATCACGCCCGCCCATCCCAGGACGCCCCCGAGCGCGCCCCAAGGCGATCCAAGAAGGCCCCTGAGCAATCCCAAGACATCCCAACGATGCCCTCACACACCCCACACTTAGTGGGCCACGGAAATGGCAGGGCCGTTTTTTCACCGTTTCCGAAACACGGCGACCGGAAACGGCAACAAAAGCGGCTCCAGGATTGGAGCTGGAGCGGGAACCCGTAAAAGAACGGCGACGAAACCGGCAAAAGAACGGCGTCGGAACAAGCAAAAAAAGGCAAAACGGAACCGGTGAAAAAACGGCCCTGTCGTGTCCAGGGCCCACTAAGACCCCACATACACGACACGACCCCCAGTACAGCCCCAGAGGCTCCCAGGAGCTTCAGTCCTGCACCGTTCTCCTGCGGACCTTTGCCTGGGCCGGCCTCGCAAGTCCCAGGAGTCCAGGAGTTTCCCAGGGCATCCAAGGCATCCGGGGAGCCTTCTGGGAGCTCCCCTGGGTCCTCTTGATCCTCCTCCTCCTCCTCCTCCTCCTTCTCCTCCTCCTCCTCAGCCTTGCGCACCCCTCCCCACTGGCCCAATTCGGCCCAAGAAGCCGCATGAGGCGCCCAAACGGACAACGAGGGCCCCCCAGAAGGCCCCAAGATAGTCTCTGGAGGTCTCAGCAGAAGCGTCTCTTAGAGTCCCCAGAAGCCCCCAGGAGGCCCCCAGGAGGCCCAACGTTCCACGGTAACGAGACAGAAAAAAAACAAAGGGGGGGAGCGGGCTTGCCCTGCCCGCGAGGGCCGCCAGAGGCCATCGGACCCACAGCTCCGCACAGCGGCCCGCATGTGTCCAAGACGAGCGATGGCGGCCGGGTCAGGCCGCGTGCTGCCGGCCGAAACCAGAGCAGCTGCCGATCGAGGGCCTGCCGTGTAGTTGGGCCTCCCAGCACGAATTGAGAGTTCAAAGCCACTCGCCTGCCTCGTCGCTGCCAGACGTCTGGGCGAGTCCTCCGTCGAATCGAGAGTTCAAGGCCGAGCGATTGGATCCACACGTCTGGGCGACTCCTGCGACGCCTGGCGGTCTTCGGGCCAGACAGTGGGCCTCTCCGGCGGCGGTTCGGGACTCTCTGGGCGCCCCCGGTGGTCCGCCGACGAGGCGCAGCTGCTGGAAAACACCCCCGAGGCGAGAGAACGCTCAAGAAGCAACGGGCACCTCCTCCCTCCCTCCCCCTTGCCCAGCCGGGCGGCCTCCACCTCGTCGTCGTCGTCCTCGTCCTCCTCGCTCCTGGCCCCCTCCGTGACGGCCTCCATCCCCCGGGAGGCCTCTGGAGGGGGGGGTCTGAGACCTCTTGGCGGTGCACACCAGGGGCGGGGGGAGGGGGGAGGGCCTCTGAGAAGGAGGCGGCCTCTCAGAAGGGG